GAAAAATATGTCGAAAAACGGATAATTTTTCGTACTTTTTGTATGTTTATTGTTCCCCTCAATTTAGCAATGGTTTTTTGAAATAGGCAAACTCGGATCTTTATTCTACATAATATTTGGGATTTTTTTTTGGGAAAACTAGTTGTTGCGGACTGTTCCAACAAGACAATTTTACAAAAAAACACAGTTTTAGAATACAAATAAACGTACCAACATTGACAGAACACTAAATATATTCCACACTAGTGTACACTATAAGGGAAATACCAGGCAAAGTCACACTTTGGAAACATCGTATTATATGAACAATTCGCGACTAGTACACTGAAACCTGGTGCTGTTGTTTTTATTGCTGATAATGCAGCACTTAATTAAGAGATTCTAGAAGATTTTTAAAGCATGGGATTAACAGGAAGAGCACAATAAACATCACTTATCTCTGCCCCACACCTATATACGAGTGTCTGTACCAGTTTTATATGACGTTGTTGATGTATTGTAATTTATTCCGATGATTCTTTTGCTAAAGTTGTCGTGTCCTTTCCATATACATGCGCACAACAATTACTCATAATGACGCTGGTCGAACAAATGACAATAAAGAGATGATCTGAAATACTGACGAACATCGTACAGTTTCCACAAAAAAAACTCTCGCCTGTACGGTCTATAGTTGCAGAAGAATTTTGCAATGTTTGATGACATACATTTGTGTCTATACACTTTTTACTTCAGTTTTAAGGGTCGGTAACTCGTTAGCGATGCAATTTGTAGGTAAATTAGGTCCAAACAATCTATTTTGACTCTAGTTTCCGCCGTATAAGTTTGACTACATATTTTGAGAATCACCCTGCATTTTGCAGCTATTATAACGATCCGATTAACCGTTTAATCATTACTTTTCTATTTTAAGAAGCCTTGACTGTGGCTGGCCAACCTCGGCTTGTCAAAAATTCAATCAAGGCAGTTGAATGGAACCTATTTGTTCTAGATTTCAATTAAAACATCAACCGAGGAGTCGCTAGATAATAACGATACCTTCTTTTGCCAATTTTTCGCCCATCTTTTGAATTGTTGCGCTACTTTAGAAAATAAAACTCGTTTATAAACTATTCATTTTCAAGCATCAGCGAATATTATAGTGCAGTGAATTTGCAATACAAAAAAACCGCTTGGGTGTGAAATCTACCTGTTTTCGATTGCAACAATCGAGTAAAAGTTCAATTCGACGCTAACAATGCTGAGTAAGACGGTAGGTATTGTGGTCAATGGTGCAATAATGGGAATAAGAAATAAACATTGTTTTGTATAAAAAACAAATTGCTTCTACAAACAAACCGAATTCAGTGAAACGGGGACTTTCTAGTCTCTTTTTTCACAAATTTCTTTCTCTTTTTTGTTAGCTTGGGAATTTAGCACCATTTATGCAACATTCTAATTGAAAGAAATGAGCGACTATGAAAAAAAAGGTAATTTACACAAAACATGTTATTAAATTTGTTTACCATAATTTAATAAAAGCGATAAAAAAACGTTTTTTACGGACTACTTTTATTGCAAAAAAACGAAAGTTAACTTTTTTAAGTGTTTTTTTACTTATTTATAGGTATGTATTTATTTATATACTAAAATGTTACTTGACTCAAATTGGGATAATTAATTATACAAGTTTACAATGTAACAATTTTCTCACAAATAGCAATTTGAATCATAAAAAAAATAATTAAAAAATCTAAGCCTAGGCCAATTATTTATTTATACAGCCTGTAATAAATTAATAGAGATAAGATTTTTGTGACGTCAAATATTGTATTAAATACAATGAAAATACGATTTTCACACGCTCCTTATCAAGATTGCTTTTAGAAACAATCGGGTCTAGCTTGTCCCGTGACTTCACAAATTATAATCCACGCAAAGTAGGCCTTGTTTCGCGCGCCACATAGGTACCTATGACTTCGCATTGTTTTTGCACCTGCCTACTTGAAATTAACAGTTTGTAACTGTTCATGAAATGAGATGGGAACAAATTTCGGAATGTTAATGAGGTTTTGTGGGAAGAAACAGCTAGTTTAACTGATAAATTAATATAGTTATAGTGGATAGTATATTGAGACGGTCCACGCAGATTTAGCTTAGCAAAATCGATTGGACTTAGATCCGATTTGAGGCGGTTCAAACATGAATCCTATAAACCAATATACATTTAGAAAAGCTATTAGAAATTGTAAGATATTTATTTGTGCCACAGGCTTAGTGGTTTATTGGACAAACACACCCTATGAGAAAGTTAATAACATAATAATTGATAACAAAAAAATTGTCTAAAACTAAAAAAGATCCAACCAAATCAATAGAAAATAAAATTTATAGGACATTACTTATATAATACAACAGGGATTTTTTCGTTTGCAGACGCTTAAAAATGAATAGAAGAATTTTTCTTGAAGGCCTTGGTCTATGTTTTAATTGGAATGTAGAACAAACAAAAGTATGTTTTGGTGTAGTTGTCTATTCACTAATGTACCACTGGATAAATTATTGTTATTATTATCAAAAAAAATACAAAATGATTATTTGGCAAATAGAACATAAGAATAGGATGTACAATGGAATAACTGATATAAGTTTCTTTAAAATCCACGTTTTCAATGATAGACCAGTGCTTAAGCCTTCACAAATGGTAAAAAGTGAAAAAAAATTATAGTAGGATGAAACCTATTGGAAAAGGAAGAGAATATAACAGAAATGAAAGGAAAAATAATTTACGGGCGATCTGAGGTCGGGAAGGGGAAGGGGGTGAGTTTTTAAGGGTAAAAACGGTTTCCTTTGATTTCCGGAAAAACTGCAAGTCTTATGGAAAAAAGTTAAATAGCAAAGTCGTAGGTAATAAAAAGATCTACAACCTTTGTATTTACACTTTTTTCACATAACCTAAAAATTTATGTGAAAAATTCAAATAATCAAGTTTTTTATTTTTTATTTTTATATTTTACAAAAAAAAAAATTCACGAAATTTTGTGAAAACTTACCTATTTATGTCCCAAACACGCTGTAATTTTTTTGATTTGAAATATTTATTTTTTCACCTTATTTTTACTTAATATCGAAAAAGCACCCTAATTTTCAATCGAAAATTCTCACGTCAAAATATCTGCTTTTTTAAAAACGTCGGTGGGCTTTTTCTTCGTTGAAATCTCTACTTTCTGATGGTGTAAAAAAATATATACATTACTATGGTAAGTTTTCTCAGGAAATGCAAAGAAACGAACTAGAATCCGAAAATTTTTTTCTAATCATTATGTACAATTTTGAGCTATTTATTAAAATTTACACTTTAATTACTCGAAAAACGTAAGATTCCATGTTACATTGATAAACAAAAAAATTACAAGTCGAAATATACTATTATAATTAACAACCAAATAAGTTAATAAAGTTAATATTTAATAAGACATCTACAATATTTTGAGAAAGTTGTAGAATCTTCTTTCGTTTCTTTGCATTTCCTGAGAAAACTTACCATAGTAATGTATATTTTTTTTTACACCATCAGAAAGTAGAGATTTCAACGAAGAAAAAGCCCACCGACGTTTTTAAAAAAGCAGATATTTTGACGTGAGAATTTTCGATTGAAAATTAGGGTGCTTTTTCGATATTAAGTAAAAATAAGGTGAAAAAATAAATATTTCAAATCAAAAAAATTACAGCGTGTTTGGGACATAAATAGGTAAGTTTTCACCAAATTTCGTGAAAAAAAAATTTGTTTGTAAAAGATAAAAATAAAAAACCAAAAACTTGGTTATTTGAATTTTTCACATAAATTTTGAGGTTATGTGAAAAAAGTGTAAATACAAAAGTTGTAGATCTTTTTATTACCTACAACTTTGCCATTTAACTTTTTTCCATAAGACTTGTAGTTTTTCTGGAAATCAAGGGAAACCGTTTTTTACCCTTAAAAACTCACCCCCTACCCCTTCCCGACCTCAGATCGCCCGTAAATTATTTTTCCTTTCATTTCTGTTATATTCTCTTTCTTTTCCAATAGGTTTCATCCTACTATAATTTTTTTTGGTTTCAAAAATTATCGACCCCGGTCCATGATTACTATCAATGTCACCAATTTTAAGTAATTACATAAAATAAACCACCATTTGGTGAAGGTATGTAGACGATATTACTGTAATTTGGCCTGTTACCATTGGGGAATTAAATAATAATTAACCAACAATTAAATTCATTTTAGAAATAGAAAACAATAATACATTATCTTTTAGAAATTATATTTATAAAAAATGAACATTCTTTAGAATCAATGTGTTTTGAGAAGTGTTTATAGCAAAGCAACTAACTTCAACAACAGTTTACGGTTTTTTTTACTCGCTTTTTTTGTCAGACACGCCCAAGTAATAATAAATTATACTTAATTCAAACAATTGCTTTTTATCTTGTGAATGCAATATTACACAAAAATTTGAGAAATAAAAAACTTGCAAAAACTCCTGGGATATACCTAATATAATCATAATCATATAATTCAATAGGGTTCGGTTAAATTTATTTGTCTACATTTTTGGTAAGTGTAAGCTTTTCTATTAGGCAAAAATAGCTTAACAAAAATAATCCTTGGCTGATCTTTTTGGAGTAAGGATTTTTACATGTGGCAAGATATCCAATTTACAAGTTTTAGAGTTTGATTAATATTTTTATTTACGCGATTTTTTGGCACATATTTTATCACAATGCTTGGTGGATTCTACGTCACCGAAAAAATGTGGTTAAGCATTATATGGTCACACCATATAATCTTTCTATGCAGATCTGACGAAACATTTTTTACCTAAACGTCATAATCGACGATCATTAACATTCCCCTACAGTATCCAGTCAGATAACTGTGATTATATTATAGAAAACTAATTTTTACAACGTCTAGGAGATACCGATTTGATTTACAACTAACATACATCCATTTACAAAAAAAAATATAAGCTACTCACTTAGTATCGGTTCGGTAGTATATCACAGGTTTAATCCTTCAGGAATTTTGTCTAAAATGCAGTTTCGTTTACAGACACAGCGATGAAAACGTGCTTTCAGGGAAACAGCTCGTAGAAGACACAGTAAATGGTGTGTTGTAAACACAGAAAACCTATTTCCATTTCACAGACACCGCAGACTTTAAACACAACTAGCGTTGCACTGAAGAGCAAGAATGGAGCTAGGGTTTACCAAAACAAACGGTATACATGCCGTAGGAGGGGTGGGGGAAGAAGCAACGTTGCCGGATTTACCTCACGGGAATATCCAGCACATGGTTCGAGGTTTGAGTTCTATTTGATTGTTGGTGCACTAGATATCTTGACCGTTCTTTTTTTTTTCAAATTCATTGAAAGGAAATTCGATCACGGTATTTGAATATCTTTCATTTTGCGAAATGATATTTGCCTCAGTGTAGTACTTATTGTTTTTCGCGTATTCCTTTAATTTTTCAAATGAAACATCACGTTAATATTCATGCAAGTTTTGAAGTTGTTACAGTAAAGCAGTGGCGTACTATTTTGATATGCCACCGATACCCTGTATCTCCTCCATTGGAGCATGTAAATTTTAGGAAAAACCCTCAGATTTTGGACAATGTTTTCATAAATACGTGTGCCCAATTTCAAATTATTTCACTTACTAGTTTTTAAATTATTTTAAAAAGTTAAAAATTTTTTTTGAAGTTTCCCACTCTGTATCTTTTTAACAGAGCGTCCTAGATACAAATTTTAAAAGAAAGCCTCTTCTTAAAATTCACCAAAGAATACGGGGTTTTATTTTTGATCACGATTTGTGAATTACCTTTTCCCATTTCTTATTAATTTTTTGGGAAAATGTAGAGCTTATTCCGAGTATCTCTAGTACATTTAAAGTAATCGAAATATTCGCGACTATAATCTGTTTGGAAATGAAAGAGAGTAATAAAACCCCGAGATAAGAACCGGCCAAGGGCGTGGTAATATTTCGTTTCAGGTAATTATCGGGTAACACTAATGCTAACAAAAATGACAGGGATTGGAAAATCGACTATCTACAGACTTTTAAAGGAAACAAAAAATGAACAAGATACTGTAAATCCCCCAAAATCATCTACAGGGAGGTCAAAAGTCGTTATAGATGATTTCTTCAAAAATGTCATTCGCAGAAAAGTACACTCATTTTATTTTAAAAAAGAAATACCAACGCTAAACAAAATTTTAAGTGAACTTTCAGAGGACAACGATTTGCCAAAAATCAGTAGAAGCAAATTATGGGCCGTCTTACGAGAGTTGAATTTTTGCTGGGAAAAGCAGAACAGGAAGTCAGTTCTTATCGATAAAGATGAAATTATTTGTTGGCGAAGATCCTACTTAAGATCAATTAGAAAATTCCGTGACGAAGGGAGGAATATTTATTATCTAGACGAAACTTGGGTCAACGAGGGATATACTGTAACAAAAGTATGGCAAGATAAAAATGTAAAAAGTTTTCGACAAGCATTTTTGGATGGACTTTCAACAGGGTTCAAGGCACCTTCAGGTAAAGGGCGAAGATTAATAGTGACACATATAGGTAGTGCCAGTGGTTTTGTAGATGGCGGTTTACTTTTATTTGAATCTAAAAATACAGGTGACTATCACGAAGACATGAACGCAGATGTTTTCGAAGAGTATTTTACACAGATGTTGGATCTTATTCCTCCGGGGTCTGTAATTGTCATGGATAATGCCAGTTACCATTCACGGCAGACCGAGCGGACGCCTACGACTGCTTGGAGGAAAGCCGATATAATTCAATGGTTATCCGGAAAAAACATTTCTTTTGAAACAAATATGGTGAAAAAGGAACTTTTGACACTTGTCAATCTTAATAAAGATCAGAAAAAATATGTTATCGATGAAATGGCAACAAATCGCCAAATAACGGTACTACGGTTACCACCTTATCACTGTGAACTTAACCCAATCGAATTAGTCTGGGCGCAGGTAAAAGGAGATGTAGCGCGAAATAATACGACGTTTAAATTAAGTGACGTGAAAATTTTGTTAAAAAATTCCTTGGAACGAGTAACTGCAGATAACTGGCAAAGATGTATACATCATGTACAAAAAGAAGAGGAGAAAATGTGGGAACTCGATAATTTAATTGACGTTACTGTGGAACCTATCGTTATCAATCTAGGAGACGAAGATAATTCATCAGAATATTCAGAGGATGAATTTTAATATACCTACTTTTTTATTTTCTTTATTGTACATTTATACAACACTACATTTACTCACCATAATTTGAATTTTCAAAATACATATATTTTTGTGTGGAATAAAAGTCTATTCATTAAATTTAAATAAATATTTTGATAATAATATTGAATAATTTTATTTGAATTACTAAAAACCCTCTTAACCCGGTTATGATGCTTAAAGTAGCCTCATGTTTTGAAATGCTGTTTTTATATTGTTTACTTATAAGAGAAATGGACCGAGAAATTGAAGCGGCATAGACAAAGACGGATTGTCAGGGATTAAATTTTAGCTACCTGCTACAATTTGGTACAGTCCGATCGCACAAAGTTTTTTTAAAAGTACACCTCATCCTATACCGATAATACATAATATAAAATTATTGAATATAAGCACCAGTACTACATTTATTTACGATTTGCATACATAATAAGCTTTTATTACTCTCTTTTGTTTCTAAACAGACTATAAAAACTTTTTTGAGGTCCGTAATTATTTATTTTCTATTTGAAATGTATTCTGACTGATAAAGACAGATCGATGAGATCTCCACTATTACTACATTTTACATCGGGATTGTTTTTTGATGTGGAGTCCTTGCAAATTGAATTAATAAATATTAATAGAACGAAATTATGTATAAAGAAGTTTCGTGTTTTATACACATTTTATTCTATTAATATTTGTTAATTGCATTTGCAAGGACGCCACCTGAAAAACAATACCTACTAAGATAAAATGCGGAAGTAGCGGAAACCTCGTCTATCTATCGCAGCTATCTTGCTTGTTGATCTTTATAAAGAGTGGTGTTAGAGCAAGAGCAACAAGGATGCAAGATAATTCTTTGAAAAATAGATTTTTGGTATCGAGGAACATTATTGTTTGACTTCACTTAATAGGATTTTTTAAAAAAGTTTTTTGAATTTATTTGAATTAGAAATTCCTTTAAATATAACTGAAATTTAGGATTTTTGGTCAGTAATATTAATTTTTAACAGACGCCTCAGATATTGCATAAAAACTAACCAGTTCTTCAAGGTAATGATTTTAAATCAATCTTGCACTTCTAACAGAAACCTTAAGAACGCCGATAGAAGAATTTTTCATCTAATTAACAACTACCTATTTCTTTCCTGCCTTTCTTAAAGCAAATTTAATCAATACTACAGGTTTTTTTTTCCTTTTTTTAATCTGTGGTTAGCAGAGAAAGTTCACTGGTCTGGACGATTATTTAAATCCTAGTATTTAGACGCACTTAAAAAAGATTACGTTTCGGACTCGACAAAAATGATAAAGCTAATTTAATATATCCTCACGTAAAGATAATGCACCAAAACTGCAACTTGTGGTTTTGTGATTGACCGGCGTCTACTGCGATTGGAATTTCCCGGACACGACGAACTAAATCTTTTAATTGAACCCATTTTGAAGGTTGTTAATTTGTCGCATATCTGTCTGGAAGGTAAATTTAGATTAAGCGGAACAATTCGAATAACTTGTATAACCGTTTTTAATTGTTGAGATTGATTATTGATTGGGCCACGCTAAAGCCTATTGCCGTTAATTATCGCACCATCTTGCATTAAACGTAATGTAACCATGACTTAGCCGCTAATTTATCATCGTCATTATTAATGGCGTTAGACGGGTGACGGTCTTTTTTGACACAACAAAGCGATTTGCGCATCATTTATCGCATAGATGGGACTATACTATAGTAGGATCGTATTCGATGCAAAGTAGAGCAAAAAGTTGTCGGTCTTTTATCAAAGGAAAATCGTGTCATCATTTTTAGGAGGCGTAAGATAAATCATTTAAAATTTAAAATGAAATTCAATGTAAAACCTAAAATACCGCTGCATACGCACTGTGTTCTGGTAGTAGCTGTAGTCGGCCAGGTGCATCGAGTGTACGAACTGGTCGGTTATACGTCAAATACTAACCTGGCGAGCTTTGCCGTCAATTAGAGAGCGCTTCCAAAAAACAAGTAAACAACAGTGGCGCGTACAGAGGTAAAATGTAGTACATATGTGGAATTTAGAAAACAAATTGGATTTATAATAAATTACATTTAAAATAAATAGTTTATGAGAATAAAATTATTTTTGTAGGAACAAGGGTGCCAGACCTGAACTGATCCCCTCGTCCCTTCATAATGTATAAAGAAATTATTCAATTTGTAAAACCCTTAAAAGCGTACTTCATTGGTTCCCTTGACAGGCAATGATTTATTACTTTGCATCGAATATGATCCTACTATAGCATTGTTTCTTGCAACACATTAGAGCTTCGAGCATGGTTTAAGACGGTTGCATAAAAATGGAGTAGTCTAAGGAAAAGATAATACAGGTTTTAGAAGTGTTTCAAAGGATCCTAGACAAAAATGATCCGTCTATGTGTCTCGCAGAATCGTACATCTTTGGTAGAATTCCTTTTATAGGAAAAAATACGTTATCCTGTCTGAGTTGGCTGTAAAAACAAAGTAATACCACCCGACGCATCACGAACTGCATGTGGTTTGCAATTTTCTACGTCTACGTGCTCATGGACTTTTACGATTTCCTTTTTTTTAAATGCAATAGCGTAACGCCTGATGGTTGAAGTTGAAACTATTATGGCGAAACTTTTTGATTTTCCCCTGCGGTTGTAAGGGGTAGAAAAAGCAACTCCTAAGACTTATTTAATACGTTTATTACTATCTTAAAAAATTTAAATCAATTACACGGCATGATTGGCACGTCCAACCAATAAAGATTTTTTGGCGCACTTAAATACATATTAATGCAAACTTCATGTATTACCTTTTGAAAAATACTTAGTAAATGAAAACACAAGTGATTTCCCCAGCAAAGTGGTGAACGTTTTTTTTTAAACGATAGGAACTGCAAAAAATAACATTTTTTTTGTTTTTTTTATAATATTTATCTCGAA